AGTTGTAGACTTCTTTACTGAAAGGTAATTACTCATTTGGTTGGTGCAAGTTGGGTTGTCTCTGGAACTTTTTTAAAAATGCAATTAGGAATACAGGTATTTTCTTAGAAATAATTTCAGTTTATAGAAGGTAACTTTTTTTAATTACACCTGGCCAATTTGAAAAGTTTTTATGGCTCTGGGATAATCAGGCATAATTAGACAGTGAAAGGGAAGCCTCTGGTAATGTGCAGTGCAGCCTTACTGATTTTCCTCAGCATATATGAAAGAGTGAAAGACAGGAAAGAAAAAGGTAGTTGAGAAATAATGTAGTGTTGGGATAAAGAGGCTTTGGAGTATGATGAAACTGGATTTGAATCCTGTCACTGCTACTTAATAGTTGTATGACCTTTGGCAGTTTACTTTGTTATAAATCTGTATTTTCGGAGCCCATGATCCTTTTATCCAGCTAGTCTTTAAAGAGCTTAGAATATATAGGGGCTGCCAAAACTGAAATCACTCTTGATTTCATACTTTATTCTATAATGGGTCATGTTTTAAAAATATATATCCTGTTTTTTGGATAAAATTTTACCAAGGATAAGAGAAAGAGAAAAAAAGCCCTAGAACTTAGCTAACTGGCAAGATGGATCTACACATCACAGTGAGTTTCTTTCCAAAATGATAGTGTTTAGGTTGTACATAAAAGTTCCAGTTAATGTGAAACTCAGTCACAAAGGGTTGAGATTTTTCCTGTATGAAAGTAGAATTGAAATTCTTTTATGCTATAAATGTGCATTCAGAGTCCATTAACCATGCTAATTTTATTTAGGGATAGAACATTTTCCTTTTACACCCAGATCTGCCCAGTTTCTTTGTAGAAACGTGCTATGAGATACATCTGTCCTTTGCCTGCTGCTTTGTAGACCACCACACCCAATCTGGTGCCCAGCAGCTCTGCTGTAGGACATTTCCAGGTTCTGTTCTCCATAATGACAGAAGGGAGGTGTCATAGATGCCACTTTCACATACTGAGTTGGTCTGGCCCCCTGTTTATTATTGCTCATGTTTCCTAAAGAGACAGACTCAGCTGGACTAGAGAAACCCGTGTGTTTGTAGGAGGCCCGTGTGCCATTGGTAACAGGACTTTTTATGCCTTAGGAGAGTTAAGTCCAGAGATCTGTAGGTTTGAGCCTATACATCCTGCTACTGTGTGCTAGTGGGAGCAAAGTTTAAGAGTCCTAGTAGGTTAATCAGAAATTTAGCAAATTTTAACTGCTTTTTTTTCCCCTTGCTGTTTAATCTAGATTTGCTTCTTCAGTAGTCTTATTTTTGTGGTTTTGTAAGTGGCAACATGTTTTCCTCAGACAACATGGCTTTCTTGCAGATATTCCCAGGACAATGGGTATTTATGTGTTTTTGTTTTGTTTTGCTTTGACCAAGTTATCTAAGAAATATTTTTACTCTGGTTTTTAAGACACTTTAAGGAATGTTCTTAACTTTGTAAAAAAAAAAAAAGTGTCAGAGTCATTTCTTTGTTGCACTGTGTGTTAAAGAAGAACAAATAAAGAATATTTAGCACATGGCCAAAAAAAAAAAAAATCTGTATTTTCATCTGTGAGATAGGATAAAATAACTCGTTTTTTAAGGATTAAATTCACTCCAATAAAGTATTTGGTACCGTGACTCATTGTGCTTATTAAATTTTAGGTACTATCATAATATCCTAGGTACAAATATAAAGACTTCATGCTTGGATCCTTAGAATGTGTGATAATATGTCCCACATACCATGTTGAGGTTGTTATACTCAAGTTAGTATATACACAGGTATATTTGTGACTAATGGTAAATAGAATTCTAAGCCCTGCTTCTGTTTTCTCTAGGAATTCAAATGTAACTAGAAAAATCAAACTAGACAAACAAGGTCCAGGTGCAGTAGCAATTTATTTTCACAGAGGCACTTTTTATACTAAAAGATAGGATTATTAATGTACTGAGCAATGACCAAACGTCAGATTGGTTCTATTCTTTAAAAGACATACAAATGTTTAGTCACTGCAGTCCAAGGCAAAAACAGATTTGATTTGATCAAGTCCAAAGTAAGTAGGGAATTGGACGAAATGGTTGGAACTTTAAGGAATTTAAACTCTCTCATTCTAAATTATGTGTTCTCCCTTTATATTCTTAGTGCTTGTCATTGGGACTTGGACAGCTTCAAAATTTCTCAAGTGGTTTCATTGTTACAGAGTTTAAGAACTACTGCTCTGGCTTGATGACTGGACTATAGTAGATATTCAATATAATAAACTCATCATTGTTGAAACTACTTAACACTGTTGAGTAGCCAGCGGCTCCATTGTAAATCTTTCTGGTATTATAGTCAACCAAAAATGCTTTTGTATTAACTTTATGTTTAAAAAGGGCTTTGTCTTATGCTTTATAGGTATTCTCCAACCAATCCCATGACTTGTGTAGGAGGATGCCTGGCAGGTGGTGATGTTGTAGTGCTGATAGAATTCTGAATTTCCTCCTTTAATAGGAAGAATAAGTATGGAAATAAGGGAAGGCTCAGGATTTCCCTCCTGTTTCCCACCCAAGATATAGTTTGTAAATAGAGAAGTTGGGCACTGTGATTCATGTCTCCAATCCTAGCCGCAGGCGAAGCTGAGGCAGGATGCTCACAGGTTCAAGGCCAACATGGACATTTTAGTTTGACCCTGTCTCAAAAGTGTGAAAAAAAGGCTTGGGATAGAATTCAGTGTTAGAAAACTTGCCTAGCATGTGCAAGTTGGAGCAGTCCTCTGAATTACACACACACACACACACACACACACACACACACACACACACTGGTATTTCTTATTTTTGTTTTAAAATTTGTATTTGTTAATATGGTCAAAAAAATTACAAAGGGATATACATCAAAAAATTTCTCTCTTGCCTGGTGCAGTGGCAGTCCTCTAGTCCCAGCTATTTGGGAGACCAAGACAGTCAGATCACAAGTTTATGAACAGCTGAATGAATCCAATCCCAGTGCTGTGTGAAAAAAATAAAAAAAATATATATAAATTTTCTCTCATTTCCCAGCTGTACTTTCCCTTCAAGAAAAAGGGAAGGTTATGATCAAGGTTATGTTGCTGTCCTTCCAGAGACAGTCTAAACATATCTAAACAATTTTACTTATATATATGTATTTCTTAGTGTTATCATGTACATCTATTTGACTTTTTTACTTAATAGTTTATTTTGGAGTGTTATGTATCCATATATAAAGAATTTTGTCAGTATATAATTTCTTTGTTTTTAACCACTAAATAATTCTGTATGTATAATTTCATCAGTCTCTTGCTGATGTATATGTAGGTTTTGCAACTTGAAAAAATAACCCTAAAGCATTTCATTTCTGTGTAAGCAGGTCTTCAAGTAAATTTTTGGAAGTTCAGGATACTGTACTGATATTTCAAGTTTGCCTTCTGTGAAGGTTGTATATTGACTGGTTGGGAAATGACAAAAGCCTGAACGTATGAGAGATTAAAGATGTGAAGAAGTGAAGTGACGAAGATTGAATGTAGAAGGAATGATCTTTTTAAACCATACTTCATTGGTACACCTTAGATATGCATAATGATCACATTCCTCATAGAGAATTTGTACCTCTATACATGATACAACTTTTTTTCTCTGTTCTTGTACCTTCTCTTCAATACCTCTTCCCCTCTCCATTTACAAAAGCTATATTTCCATTTTTTCCTCCTTTTCTCATTTTCTTTCTTACTTTTCCTTTTCCCCTGTTCTCCTCCCTATTTGATCCTTATTTGAACTTTTTCTTCCTATTTCACAATACCTATTATATATCTTGTCCCTTATTTATACTTCTGGTTTCTCACACCAGAGAAACAATGTGGTATTTACACATATGTATGTAATTTATTTCACCTTAATGTTCTTAAGGTGCATCTGTTTACCTAGAAATGTCTTAAGCTTATCCCCTTTTATGGCAGAGTAGTATTCCATTGAATAAAAAACTACATCTTTATCCCGTTCACTAGTTGATGGACATTTGAGCTGTTTGCAAGATTGCAAACTGTACTGCTATGCAGGGTGTGCATAATATCACCTAGTATGAGACTTTTAGTTCTTTTGGGAAGATACCAGGGAAAGGACTAGCTGGATCAAATGGAGCCTCTCCAGTCATATTTTTTTGAGAAGTTCCCACACTGATTTCCACAGTGTTGCACCAGTCTACACTTCCAGCAACAATGAAGAAGAGTTCAGAAGGAGTGATATGAAGAATGAATCTATAGCCATGATCAAGAAGAGAGAGCTAGCAGATTTTGTGCAGTGTATATATACAGAATTTAGTTATAATTAAAACATACTAATGAATTTTATAAAATTTAAAGTTTTTAATCAAATCTATATTTGAACCTATTTAGACACTTTTTATGTAATGCTTGTGATGAACTCTGTGACTTTATGAGAAAAAACTTTTTTTTTTTTTTTTTTTTGAGACAGTCTATGCAGTTAGCTCAGGCTTACCATGAACTCACTATGTAGCAGAGGCTGGCCTCCAACTCACAACTAATCCTCCTCTCTCAGCCTCCTGGGTGCTGGGATTACAGGTGTGTGCCACACACCAGGTAAGAAAACATGTTTAGGTGAGTGTGGTGGTGCATTTCTGTAATCCTAGCCTTCTGGAAGGCTGAGGCAGGAGAACCTCAAGTTCAAGACCAGGCTTGGCCATTTAGTGACTTAGTAAGACTTTGTTTCAAAATTAAAATGGAAACACAGATGAGAGTGCAGTTCAGTGTAAAAGCCTTGAGTTCAATCCCTGGTACCACAAAAAAGAAAGAAAAACAAAAGACAAGGAAGAGAGCAAGGGAGGGAAAGGGAAGAAAAGAAAATGCTCTCATTATTTTCATTCTAGATTTACTTTTAGTGCTTGTTGATCACATTTTACCTTCTTGTGTATAACTGAGTTTTACTTATATCTTTCTCTCCTACCCCCTCTCTTCCAGCCCTGGAAGAAAGCGGGATTTTTCCCCTGTTCCTTGGAGTCAGTACTTCGAGTCCATGGAAGATGTGGAAGTAGAGAATGAAACTGGCAAAGATATATCCTTTGTAAACTGGTTTATTTGTAAGTTTATCATATTGTCTGAGCAGAATATGTGGTACAGTATCTGAATTGTTGTTTCTGCTGTATATTTCATTTTATTCCCTTCCTATTTATTCTTTGTGTAACATGTCATATCACTTGTAAGCTTTTGCTACTATCTCTCTTGGCTATAATTGTCTAATTTATGGGAACAGGATTAAGAATTAAATTCCCAAGACTTAATTATTCTTTTGGGGCCCAAGTGCAAGTTTCATGAGTTAAGTGACTTAAATATGGTTTTGTTGTACTGAGGACATACCTTAGCAGCCTAAGCGCCTGTCTGGCAAGCTCAAGCAAGGTCCCAAGTTTGATCCCCAGTATCACCAAAGGAAAAAAAAACAAAGGTTTTGTTTCCAGAAACTGGGAACTGTGTGTCCTCAATAGGGCAGAGTGAATACTTTTCTTGTTTTCATTGAAATAATATGGTCATTCTACCTCCAGACTTAAAGAACAGGGAGTTGATATCTCACAAACATCTATTTAAATTTTTCTTTGATGGTCAGCAGTTGTGTGTGTCGTTTGATGCTACTTGAATTTTTTAGTCATCAAAAGCCTGAATGAGAAAAAAAATCTTAAATATGTTATCTTTAACAATTCATACACTTTTCGCGTGTATAAGAGTGGCTCAGAGGGTCCAGTCCTGCTCCTTCTGCATGGAGGAGGCCATTCTGCCCTTTCCTGGGCTGTGTTCACGGTAAGTTATGACAGTAGAAGTTTATTTTAGTGTAATTATTGTTTACTCTTCTTTTTGTGCTCCTTCAGTTTGCTTAATTTAAGGAGATACAGATGGAGGGGATTTCAAATATTTATTATATAGACTTAAGATCACCTATTCTTTAGTGGAGTGGACTTTAGTGCCCTCAATCAGTTTATAAAATTGTGTGTATATATATATGCTTTTTTTTTTTTGCGGAACGAGGGATTGAACTCAGGCCCTTGCGCTTGCGAGGGAAGTGCTTATTCTACTGAGCCATCTCCCCAGCCCCTATATGTGCATTGAATTGAGGGTATGAAATTTGTGCCTTCTCAAAAGCAGTGGTCTGTATCTCTGTGAATTAAGTAGACCTTAAATTCAGATGCTTTAGATAATGTCTTTCACTTATCTACTTCACCATCTCTGGTGCTTTGTACATGAAAATGTATCATAAATATTTGAAAGTGTTTCTTGTTTTGGAAGTGATGCATTTTCTGTGAGCTACTGGCAAGGAAATGGTATTTGTTGGTATATTCTGACATAGAATGGAAGATAAGTATTTGTGTGAATGCCAGTATAGATCATTCTGATATCCTTGACTCTGGAGTGAGGCAGCCCTTGTTCAAGGACAGGTATTTCTAAGGAAGATACTAGCAACATCCTTGTTTAAAATGAAGCTGTCATCTCTTTATATGTGTATCAAGCAGTTATATATACTTTCTTTGTTTACCACTGTGGGGGCTGAAGGACAGAAAATGGGAAGGAGCAGATGGCTGTGGAATTGAGGAAGGCTGGAAACATCACTGTTCCTACCACCAGTGATTATTGGGATTAAGTATAAAATTACCTCATCTCTTATATTAGACTGCAAATTCCTTGAAAATAAGAACATTGTCTTTTTCCTTTCTTCCTTCCCAAATGCTTTGAGGTAGATCTTGACACATAATTAACGAATGGTTTGATTTTGCTATTTCCTTCTCTTACTATAAGATAAACTACATAATTTACCAATGAGTATCAGGCGGTTTCACCAATAGAAATGTAGTGGAAGACACATATATAATCTTAATTTTTCTTTTTTTTCATAATTTTATTGATAAACAAATAGCAATGAGAGAGTTTCAAATCAAATCGCTAGGACAGTTTCAATAATTAACACACTACATACATTCTTCTTAGTGGTTAATTGCTATACAAGATGCGGACTTGAGATCCTATTTACAAACACCATTAGAACAAATCTTTCTATTCATTAAGAGAATGTAACTATATATCTATCCTAACCACTCTGAATACACAGATACAAAATGGACATTCATCTGTATACCCTTTTTTTGTTAAGTTC